CCTATTCTGAAGACACACGGTACATTAATAGATGGTAATAGTAGGCGAGGAGAGTCCGGTGAGATCCTATTCTGAAGACACGCGGTACATTAATAGTAATAGTAGGCGAGGAGAGTCCGGGGAGATCCTGTTCTGAAGACACGCGGTACATTAATAGACAGTAATAGTAGGCGAGGAGAGTCCGGTGAGATCCTATTCTGAAGACACGCGGTACATTAATAGACAGTAATAGTAGGCGAGGAGAGTCCGGGGAGATCCTGTTCTGAAGACACGCGGTACATTAATAGTAATAGTAGGCGAGGAGAGTCCGGTGAGATCCTATTCTGAAGACACACGGTACATTAATAGACAGTAATAGTAGGCGAGGAGAGTCCGGTGAGATCCTTTTCTGAAGACACGCGGTACATTAATAGACAGTAATAGTAGGTGAGGAGAGTCCGGTGAGATCCTATTCTGAAGACACGCGGTACATTAATAGACAGTAATAGTAGGCGAGGAGAGTCCGGTGAGATCCTAATCTGAAGACACGCGGTACATTAATAGTAATAGTAGGCGAGGAGAGTCCGGTGAGATCCTATTCTGAAGACACGCGGTACATTAATAGTAATAGTAGGCGAGGAGAGTCCGGGGAGATCCTGTTCTGAAGACACCCGGTACATTAATAGACAGTAATAGTAGGCGAGGAGAGTCCGGTGAGTAATAGTAGGCGAGGAGAGTCTGGTGAGATCCTTTTCTGAAGACACGCGGTACATTAATAGACAGTAATAGTAGGCGAGGAGAGTCCGGGGAGATCCTATTCTGAAGACACGCGGTACATTAATAGTAATAGTAGGCGAGGAGAGTCCGGGGAGATCCTATTCTGAAGACACGCGGTACATTAATAGACAGTAATAGTAGGCGAGGAGAGTCCGGTGAGATCCTATTCTGAAGAAACACGGTACATTAATAGACAGTAATAGTAGGAGAGGAGAGTCCGGTGAGATCCTATTCTGAAGACACGCGGTACATTAATAGACAGTATTAGTAGGCGAGGAGAGTCCGGGGAGATCTTATTCTGAAGACACGCGGTACATTAATAGTAATAGTAGGCGAGGAGAGTCCGGTGAGATCCTTTTCTGAAGACACGCGGTACATTAATAGACAGTAATAGTAGGCGAGGAGAGTCCGGGGAGATCCTATTCTGAAGACACGCGGTACATTAATAGTAATAGTAGGCGAGGAGAGTCCGGGGAGATCCTATTCTGAAGACACGCGGTACATTAATAGACAGTAATAGTAGGCGAGGAGAGTCCGGTGAGATCCTATTCTGAAGAAACACGGTACATTAATAGACAGTAATAGTAGGCGAGGAGAGTCCGGTGAGATCCTATTCTGAAGACACGCGGTACATTAATAGACAGTATTAGTAGGCGAGGAGAGTCCGGTGAGATCCTATTCTGAAGACACGTGGCACATTAATAGACGGTAATAGTAGGCGAGGAGAGTCCGGTGAGATCCTATTCTGAAGACACGCAGTACATTAATAGACAGTAATAGTAGGCGAGGAGAGTCCGGGGAGATCCTATTCTGAAGACACGCGGTACATTAATAGACAGTAATAGTAGGTGAGGAGAGTCCGGTGAGATCCTATTCTGAAGACACACGGTACATTAATAGACAGTAATAGTAGGCGAGGAGAGTCCGGTGGCCAATGGCCACTACTCCGTACTCTTACTACTTGACCTCTCTGCGGCTTTTGATACTGTTGGCCATCCCCTCCTCCTCAAAAAACTCCACTCTCTTGGCCTCCAAGACTCTGCTCTCTCCTGGTTCTCCTCCTATCTATCGCAGTGCTCCTTCAGTATTACCCATAACTCTGCCTCCTCCTCTTCACTCCCTCTCTCTGTAGGGGTCCCTCAAGGCTCTGTCCTTGGACCCCTTCTCTTCTCCATGTACACCTCCTCTCTTGGTCACTTGATAAACTCCCACGGCTTCAACTACCATCTTTATGCTGATGACACACAAATCTATCTTTCTACCCCTCACCTCACCCCTTCAGTCTCTCGCATTACTAACCTACTAAGTGACATATCGGCATGGATGTCACTCCACTTCCTCAAACTCAATCTTTCCAAAACTGCGCTCTTAGTATTCCCCCCAGCCCGTGCCCCCTCCCCTGACGTCTCCATCAAGATCAATAACACAATCATCATTCCCTCCCCTCATGCCAGGGTACTAGGTGTAATCCTAGACTCCCATCTGTCCTTTCACCCCCAAATCCAATCACTGTCCAAATCTTGTAGACTTCACCTCTGCAACATCTCCAAGATACAAGATGGGGTGGGGGGTTGTGGATTGTTTGGTGTTATGTGATTGCATCCCATTGTTCTATTGTGTGTCTTGCATGGGAGCAAACTATTATGGGATGTATGTGTTTGTGTATTGGCTTGGTGGGGGGTGCCTGCTGATGTGTTTCTTGTTGCTAGACTTGGTTTGACCCACCCTGTGACCTTATGCAGGGAGGAGAGAATTGTTCCCTTGAATGTGTATATCTTGTGTCTGTAGTAAAATAAAGCAGTCTATTTCCTGGTTTCCTTCAAGTCTGGTGTCTAGTCTTGTATGGCCAGCGGTGGGGTCCGTGGCGGGTGTTTGGACAGGGAAGCGGGAGTCTAACGGAAATACCCTAGTGCAGTCGGGGTCCAGTTCCGTTACAATGGTGGTAAGCGGTGGGATTGTGCTTCCAAGCTGTGAACACGTCCAAAGCACCGCCGGGATTCAAGATAAGGAAAGAAGACGTCAGTCACACCAGTGGAGATATAGACCTGGCATCAGAGTTCCGAGGGCTGCTGCGGATCGCTCTTGCAGAGAATACCCCAGGACTGTGTCTGTGGACGAGTACCTGGAGCTCAGGCAGTGGATTCAGGTGCTGCTGTGGAGTGGATCCCTCTAGGTTGCTGGTATATACAAGGGCAAGTGCTATCCAACCCCAGGGGAACGGGCCAGGGACCATCGGATGTTACGGATGCCATTCCTGCGAGAGAGACCCAAGGAGCAATGGGTGACTGAGTTGGACAGGCTGGTCCAGCAGGAGATAGAGCTGGACAACAGATATCGGGCTCTGCAATGGTATGCAGAGCAGAAATATTTAGGGGTGACAACAGAATGCTCTCCAGAGGGATATGACTTTGGTGGCCCTGGATTGCTGTGTTTTTTGTGTTTAGTGATGAAGAAGAACCTACCCTTGAGGACCTGTGAGAAAACAGAGAGGCTATGTTCGGTCTCACAGGGGTCTCAGAGCTTGAACCAGATATGGAATACCTGCTGATGAAAGAACAGCATCTGGAAAGGGCATACAGGCAACTGCTAAAACATGTTCAGCAGTATGCCCAAGAATCAGCAATGGAAACTCCAGCAGAAGAGCTGGCATCAGGGCATGGCGTTGTTGACCTCTGCCCACAACAATCAGCACCGCAGGAGCTACAGGAAGAGGATGCAATCGGCACCTCACAATGGCAGCTTGAGCTGATGTCTGTGGATGGGACTTCGATCTCCACTGACACAACCCCAGAAAAGGGTCTGGCATTGGGACAAGAAAATGTCAGCCTTACTTTGCAAACACTGGGGGATGTCCATCAGGTCAAAGTGGATGAGATTACAGTCACCACCTGGATACCCCAGGGATGCTGGGCAGTTGGCCCAGATCCCCAACAGCATGATGGAGTCGGCCCAGCCACCCTGTCTTCTCTCCAGCAGCTGAGAGGACTTCAGGGAGAAGGACCAGTCCGTACTTCTCCCCAGTGGTGGGTATGTTCTACGGGAGAGGCAGAGGTTGGCTGGGTGAGTAATGCTTTGTGTGGGACAATTTGTTTGGGGTACTGTGTGGGTGCTGGCATTGGGGGACTGAAAGTACAGACTAACTTTGGAGTCCACCCATCTGGGGTTTACTCCTGCGTTAGTCTCCTGCCGAAAGGGGAGATATGTGACGGGAGTGACTTTGGGTGGGGGGCCCATGGAACACAGCTCACGTTGGAGGGGTGGGGAGACCCCTGTCTCAGCTCCCCATATCCTTCTTATGTGTAAGTTACCCTGTGCCTTTTAGGGGTGCAGGGTGAATGTCCTGATATTGTGTAGACATGTCTAGGAGATAGGTGGGGGGGTTGTGGATTGTTTGGTGTTATGTGATTGCATCCTATTGTTCTATTGTGTGTCTTGCTTGGGAGCAAACTATTATGGGATGTATGTGTTTGTGTATTGGCTTGGTGGGGGGTGTCTGCTGATGTGTTTCTTGTTGCTAGATTTGGTTTGCCCCGCCCTGTGTCCTTATGCAGGGAGGGGAGAATTGTTCCCTTGAATGTGTATATCTTGTATCTCTGTTAAAATAAAGCAGTCTATTTCCTGGTTTCCTTCAAGTCTGGTTGTCTAGTCTTGTATGGCCAGCGGTGGGGTCCACGGACGGTGTTTGGACAGGGAAGTGGGAGTCTAACGGAAATACCGTAGTGCGATCGGGGTCCGGTTCCCTTACAACGCGGTACATTAATAGACAGTAATAGTAGGCAAGGAGAGTCTGGTGAGATCCAATTCTGAAGACACGCGGTACATTGATAGACAGTAATAGGTGCAGAGACATCCTCGCTCAATGGGGTAACACCCACCAGAAGGAGACTATAAGGAGGACGATCCTCACCAGAGGGGTGCTCTACTCGTTTTTAAGGATAAATAGTTTCTAATGAGAAAATCAAACAGAAAGGATCAAAATAGAATAAGATGAACCTGATGGCACAGCTCTACATAGTATAATATGTGGTTGTGGAAGGACTCCAGAGGGGGTTATGTCCATAGGATATGACCTTCATACCTGTACAGAACACCCGCCAGGAGCAGAGAGGGGGAGATAGGCACTCACTGCCCAGAGCCAGGACAGAGGAAGCCTGGGGACTTTTTATGGCAGACAAAAGAGAATGTGAGTTAGGGATGTTCAACCTTTATTTTAGTGATGAGGGATGGGTAAATTTTCAATATTTAACAGCTACTCTCCTGCAGAAGTGAGTCAATGACAGATACAATTTCTGGGGTATGAGTTGTATTCAGGGGCGGACTGACAACTCATGGGGCCCCCAGGCAATAGGGGATCATGGGGCCCCTGTGTCCTTGCCCAAACTCAAAAAAGCCTATAAAGAAGGTACCAGGGGCATCTCATGGGGCCCCTTACTGACCCCGGGCCCTCGGGCAGTGCCCAAGTTTCCATATGGTCAGTCCACCCCCTGGTTGTATTGGTTATGGTATGGCCTCCCATGGATGAGATAAAAAAAGGGGGGGGGGATTTCTGTAGAGAATCACAGATTTCTCTTACTCTATTTTACGAATTTTACTCTCTGGGTTAATCAGCCAGGAAAGATTAGCAGACTCCATTTTATCTTCTGAAGCGGACACATCTGCATCTTCTGCAGAGGAGGACTCGTCTTCATCTTCTGCTCTGTCCTCTCCTGAACAATCTTTACTGGAAATATTACAAGTCTGAAAACTAAAACACAGTAATGAGATAATAACCACCAAGAATGTATTACCTCTGACAACAAGAACAAAAATGTAACAACCAACAGTTTCCATTGGTGGCTATGAGCAGTCTTTGAAGTCACAAAACTTAAAGGAAGCCCCTGATGTATGTACAGGGTTTCCAGTCTACTCACAATGGGGTTTACATTCATCAACAGTTTCTGGAAGATCCTGGAACACCAAATATTAAATGCAGTCCCGACATTCTTATCTCTACCCACTTTTGTAGACTGATGGCCCTTTCCAATGATGAGAAGATGATGTCACATCCCTAGTATTATTTCCATCCCCAGATCTCTGAACACTAAGCTTTCCCTCCATTGGCAGGACACACCCATTCCTTCTTGCCAGTGAATGACTGGCAGATGGTGGGTGATCGGGTGTTGGTGATGAGGGGGTGCTGGTGGGGGGGTGCCCAATTCTTGTATTGCCTGTGCAACACAAGAAATGAATACACCACTGGTCCCACTTCTTTATTTGCCAGAATCTAAGTGTACAATGATGTATTTAAGCTATGTCATTACATTGTGGTACCTTTCTTGTTTACTCATTGTTTTATCTCTGTATTGTTAAACTTTAATAAATAGATTGGAAAAGAAAAATGTCCAAAAAAAAGCATGAGATCCCCCAAAAGATCTATACCTGACCTTAATTTGAGTATGTGTCCTGGTTGGCAAGAACATTGGGGCTGTCCCTCTCCTGAACCATACCAGGCTTTGTTTGGCAAAGCACCTTGTCCCCATGTTGATGGGGACACCTCTTTCCCCAGAAACCTTGGCCTTTGATTTTGGGGCTCTGCCTATGGGGGGGCTTAACAATATCTAGAAGCCTCTAGTGATAAGGGGCCCCCAGACACTATCCTCCGAAATGTGAATGAGTGTGGGGTATTAATTAAAATCCCCCCAAAAAGTGTCTCATTGTAAATCCATCATCAAACACATTGCCCATCACCCAATGACTTGCCAAAAAAAAGATGAATCAGCACACACAACTGATTGCTGATGATGGCATGTTTTTAAAAGGTTAAAAAAAATCTGAAGAATATATTTTAAAAAAAATATATATTTTGAAAAATATATTTTTTAAATATATTCTTCAGATTTTTTTAAACGTATAAAAAAAGTCATTTTAACATATATGTTTACCTATATTTGTAAATGCATTCCAAAAATGTAGATTTGTATTTTTAAAGATATACAGTATATTTGAAATGTATTTTTAAAAATATTTTTCAGATATTTTGTAATAAAAAAACACATTTCAACATGCAGTGTATATATATTTTTAAATATATTGAATATGGCCAAAATTGTAGCATTTCAAATATATGGCAATATATTTGGGAAGAATATTTGTTAAATATATTTAAAATATATTTTCTTCCATATAGGAACATAAAAATGCAAAGACCATCTTTTCATTTTCCAGATCCTGTGCTTCAAGAAAATGCTTTAGGGGGGTTTTAGTAAATTTTGATCAGATTTTAGAAGTTGTGTGATAAATGGTACAATTGGTCAGCAGCAGGGGCGGACTGACAACTCATGGGGCCCCCGGGCAATAGGGGATCATGGGGCCCCTCAGTCCTTGCCCAAACTCAAAAAAGCCTATGAAAAAGGTTCCAAGGGCATCTCATGGGGTCCCCTACTGACCCCGGGCCCTCGGGCAGTGCCCAAGTTTCCAAATGGTCAGTCCGCCCCTGGTCAGCAGTGAAAGAGTTAGTATATTGGTGTGATTTTTTACCAGACATTGTGTATAAAGTGAAATGTTGGGAACCACCATTTAGGGTTGAGGAAAGCATGAGTCCCCAGGAGATCATATCTGATAATTACCGTTTTGCTGTATGCAGGTTCCTGCCCATTCTCAGAATTCAGCTGTATATCCTCACACTCACTTACCTGACCTTCTGACACCTGTGTATGAATGGAGAGAGATCCTTCTGGCACTCTGGACCCATAGTGAGGCTAAAAAAATATAAAGACTGAAAACTTTCATTCTTCAATGTCTTCAAGCAATAGCTCAGCTGCTTGGAATAATTATTATTTTTATTTAGCAAGCGACCAGTTTGTAGATCGTACAGCTTCAATCTTGAAAGACGAGACATGACACTCCTAATGAGGTCCTCATCCTGAGTCTCATACAGATAGAAGATGCCAAGCATATGGAAACTCTGACCAATGTTCTTCATAGCAGAACTTTTAACTGCAGATAGGACTTGGGGTGAAATGTTGATGCCTGTGATCTCTGAGAATGTCCTGACCAACTTTTCATTAAAGAAACCAAACAGGAATTGTATAGCTAATGCTAAATGGAAGTAATCTGATTCAGGGTCATCCTGCAGGAGCCCTTTACAAATCTTTGAGAGTAAACTACGTTTCATAAATCCAGCACCGTCATCCAGCACATAATACAGGGCAGCAAGGAACTCCTGTACACTCAGGTGGATGAAGCTGTAGCAGGCCTGGGTGCGAACATCCCAGTGAAAGATGTTCTTATTCAGAAATACAGACTCCACCTCATCCAGAGAAAGTCCATGTCTGTCTAGATCTTTCTTCTCAAATAGGATTTGTAGTTTCAAAGCTCCCTCGTTGGCTAGAGCACACAGCTTCTTCAGACAGGTTTGCTTCCTGTGTACAGACTGGTCCTTCTTGCTGTGATGGGTTATTAATTGTCCCCTGTGAATCCATGGATTTTAACATTACGAGAATCCTCAATGAATGTGTTAAGTTTCTCCATGGCCAGTGACCTCGTGGTGATGATCAGAGAAGATTGTGGGAGAACCTGTTTCCTGAGCAATCTTTGGAGAATTATTTCTTTGTGGGTTTCCTTAGAAATGTCAAGACAGACCTCAGATTCCTCCTCCAGAGTCCACCTGAGTTCATCAAACCCATCAACTAGAAAGAGAAGTTTTCTATGACTTTCAGGATCCTTCAAAATAGACACCAGGTCACCTGAACTTTGCAGTCTGCAGGCTCTGGATAAAAGTCCCACAAGACTTATGTCTCCAGGGATGGTGTAGATTTCTCTACAGCTCAGATAAAAAACAAAGTCAAATTTGTCTTCGTAGAGATTCCCAGAGGCCCAGTCCAGCATGATCTTCATGGAGGTCATTGTTTTTCCAATCCCAGCAGGTCCTTGTAAAACCACAATTTTAGGGGTAAAACCATCTTCATCAGGGTCAAAGAGAGCCTGGATTGTGATTGGGGAGTATTGATCAGAAGGTCTTTTCTCCATGCTCTGTAGATGTCTTCTGCCTGAACTCCTTATTTCTTGTTCTTTTTCTTCTTTATTCTGGTGTCCTTGTTTCATGAATAACTTTGTGAATCTTTTCTGTAGATTAACAGCCTCCCCAATACGGGAGTTATATTCTTTAATCCTCTGGAACCTCTCTTTCGAAGAATCTTTGTATTCCTTTCCAAATTCTTTACAAGAGAAATAAAAATATTTTATTCCTCTTAAACACATGAAATAATATTTATAAGATATAGGGGTTGATTTACTAAAGGCAAATAGAGTGTGCACTTTGCAAGTGCAGTTTCTCCAAAGCTTAGTAAATTGAGGGGAAGGTGTGGTACAGCAGCAGTAAAGACACAGTGTCTGGCTGCAGATACCTCAAAACTTGTATTGTAGTAAATGCTTGACTACAAACAACCCCAGCGGGAGTGTGCTGCTCTGGGTTACGCTCAGAGTTCTGTGTAATTCAGAGATGCAGCGGGGAAAGATGAGATCTGGCTAGTCTGATCCCAATGGGGGGGCCTTTCCATAGCAGTATGGCATATCCCTAGCCTGTCACTGCTCATCCAGAACCTTTCCCTGACACTAATCACTTTACCTAACAGACAGGTGCTCTTTCCTTATTGTAGCCACTTTGAAAATGTGCACCTAAACCTGATGACAGGGACTTATAAAGACTCTGCTGACCCAAGATGGCCGCCAGGGGTCTCCTCAAGGGCCCGCCAGGCGGCACAGTCAGCCAGGATGCTACCTCCAGGGACCACTCTGAACCAGCAGGGGTCCAGTTGACCAGGTATCAGTCAGGCATGGGACATCTTGGCAACCATAATCTCTGGCTTGCTGGGACTTTGGATTGCAGGTCCCAGGGGTTGTTCCTTTGCCCCAGGAGCCACTAGTTGAATGACAGCCTGGAGGAGTTTTTGTATTCAGACCACCCACAGTTATTGGATAAAAGTCCATATTGGCCACACTGCCAGCATTTCCAGTCCTCTTCAGGGTTCCTGTGCAATGGATTCTCACCCTTATGAGGTTGGGGAGAGTCCTATTTCAAGGAGGCCACATGCTGAGCAAACTGTCTCAGTGCAGTTTGCAGGGCTGACAGTGGTGAAGGTTGCAAGGCCTTCTCCTTCAGATACACAGGTTCATACTTTTTGGTCAGTTACTCTTGCTTCTGCCTCTTCTTGCTCCCATGCAATCACATTCACAACTGCATAATAGAAGAAAGGCTCTTCGAACTGGGCCAGCTTTCATGCTAGCTATAAATTGGTCCCTCAGCATGTGGCCTGATTCGAGGATGTCAGCACAGCTGCACACATCTCTCTTTTCCAGGTGCCTCCAAAGGTCCTGTACGGTTAATGCATTATGAGTGAGGCTGCTGTTGTTTCCTGACAAAGAATCTTTTGCCTCAGCTCTGGAACCAGTACCTTTTCTCCAAACAGGCCCTCTAGATGCAATACAGTCTGCTCTAAAGTAGTCTATGGTAGTGCCATCACCACTCAGCAGATGCCATCTTCTAGGGCATTAATTGCCAGCTCCACTACCAGCCAGGTGAGCCCTGGTACAGACACTTGGCACTATCTAGTCTCTTCACTCACTCAGCCAAGGGGATGTTTGAGCCATTACATTTAGGTACCAGGGCTATGGCCAATCCTAGCAAAGCCATGGAGGAGCCAAACCCGTCTTCCACACCCGCTGCAAGGGACATATCCTGCCAACTGCGGCCAAGCATGGGTAGGTGCAGTGTGGTTCAGTGACAGTAAAGACACAGAGTCTGATTGTAGATAACTCAAAACTTGTACTACACAGAATGCTCAACTACAAACAACCCCAGTGGGAGAGAGCCCCTCCGAGTATCACTGGCAGTTATGTTCAATGCACAGATGAAGCTGGTAAAGATGCACCAACAGCATCTGTCTTCAGAGGGGAGAATGGGGCCTGGTCAGACTGGTCTCAATGGGAAGGCTTTCCGTAGCAGGATGGAGTACCCCTAGCCTGTTCCTACTTGTCTGGAACCTTTCCCTTCCACTAATCCCTAATAGACAGGTGCTCTTTCCCTACTCTAGCTACTTCGCAAATGCGCAAAACTGAAGCTTCACCTCATTTGAAAATTTGCCTTTAGTAGCTCAACCCCAAAGTTGGAACTATTGTATGCTAATCATAAACTCTAATTATGTAACCCTAAAAGAAATTATGCCATTAACTACAGAAAGATTGTGGAAGCATCCGAACTTCTGTATGTTCACATCATCCAGACTACAACAGAACAAACTGTTCCAACTGTTCCAGAAGAAATTTCATATCAGCCGTCGATGTCCTACTGACCTGATAATCTGCTGCTGTGTGCCATCTTCTTCAGTTTTGCTGAAAAAAAAAAAAAAAAAAAATTAAATTATTGTGGAAGAAGTAGGGCGTCACAATGGCTTAGTGGTTAGCACGTCTGCCTTGCAGTAAATGGGTCATGGGTTCAATTCCTGATCATGGCACCTCCTGCATGGAGTTTGCATGTTCTCCCTGTGCCTGTGTGGGTTTCCTCTGGGTACTCCAGTTTCCTCCCACACTCCAAAGACACGCTGGCAGGTTAATTGGATCCTGTCTAAATTGTCCCTAGTATGTGTATGTATGACTGTGAGTTAGGGACCTTAGATTGTACGCCCCTTGAGGGTTAGGGACTGATGTGAATGTACAATATATATGTAAAGCACTGCAGAAATTGATGGCGCTATATAAGTACCTGAAATAGATAAGTAGGCTGTGTGCAGGGAAATATCTTCAACTTAAAATCTCTATCTCTCTTTAGTCTTGACAAACCTCTGAAATTTCTAAATTCATTTCTAAGAATGTTGTTAGTGTAGCATATACTCATCATAAAATCACCAACCCTCTGCAGATTACAGTCTTTTGTGCCAATGTAGGTGGGGCCTGTGGATAGTTGCCCACTCAGGAGGGAGAACATACCATTTATATACCACAGCTCACACAGTAGTTCTCAATGGCTGCAAGAATGCAGCCAGAGAGGAGTAATTATTGCTCTTACAGCTTTTATGGGTGTAAACGCAATCAGTGTAAAAAAAAATAAATACATCTTCATTACCCCCCACAAGTAGTACAGTGTCACCATGGTGACACTGTACTGCTAGGGTGACAGTATGTAAAAAAACCCCAAAAAAACATAAATAATAATATAAAAAAATAAAAAAAATGTAAAAAAAAAAATTTTACATTTATAATTTTTGGTTATAAACTCATTTTGTTTTGTTTTTTTTTTTACTAAAAAGATAACAGAATACATTTTGGCCGAGATTTATGATGAAATACTATTTAAAATGTTATAAGAAAAACACATTTTTTTCAAAATTTTTGGACTTTTTAATTTCTATAACAAAAAAAAATAAAAATCCCAGTGGTGAATAAATACCACCAAAATAAAGCTTTATCTGTCTAAAAAAATGCTAAAAAATTCATATGGGTACAGTGTTGCATGACCGTGCAATTGTCATTCAAAGTATGATAGCGCTGAAAGCTGAAAATTGGCCTGGGCAGGAAGGGGGTAAAAGTGTCCAGACTGGAAGTGGTTAAAGACACAATTTGGAACTCAGGTAGAACACAAATACAGAGTTTGAAGCACTCAGGAGATCAGTATAGTTTTATCACAGCCCACAACAGTATAATTGATAAAGATGTTACCAAAGGATGGTCTCTGCTGGACGGGTGGTGAAAGCATAAATCATGCTTCACTGGCCCACTGTAACAGGAGTCCCAGAAGGTCCTATGGTCCTATCCCCTACCCACCAGGGATATTCCTCTGATCTAGGGATCTTGAGGAGGACCAGAAGTTCTGCAAATTTAGGCATGTAGACAAGATCTGTGGTTGACATGAATTCAAAAGCTCCTACAGGCCGCCATTAAACTAATGGCTCCTAGGGCAGAGTGGCAACCCCCGGGACAAGGAACCCAAGGTCAGAAAACTGGAGTCTATGGTTGTGCCAAGTCCAGTAGTGTCTGTTGCCATCAATGACCAAGCGGTCCCATGCTTAAAATGGTAGTAAACCCTCTACGTTGGTTTTTACCTGCAGGTAAACTTAGGAAAAGGCTTATCTGTAGGTAAAATGAATATCTACTAAGCATGCACCGTCTAGGAAATATTTCAACTAGCAGCAGCCAATGATGTCACCAGCGCATGCGCTCTGAAGGCACAGCATACCTGTGCTGTTCCTTTAGAGCTCTGTTACGTGCCCAGCGCTGCCATGTGCATGCGCTGGTAGTGACATCATTGTGGCTCGGCTAGTCAGATAACAGAAGCCCATGAACTTGGAAGGAAGACCGGGTGAAAATGGAAGTCCTGTGAGCAGTGACAAGCATGCCACTGGAGGGCATCATTTTAAGGTAAGCACATTATGATATCACCTTGCAGTGGGAAACTTTTTTTAAAGGTTTGCTAGCACTTTACTTGACACAAGCTCAGTTGTCACTGTCATGGAATATGACTTCTACACTTCTATGGTTCAGGATGTGAGAACAACTGGACCCCTTGTGGCTTATCATCCACGTGGTATTGGGGCATGGAAACGGTTCAACTGCACCTTCCTGGGCAAGCTACAGACTCTCAAACAAAGCCACTGAGATAGATGGCATCATCAACATGTGGGGGCTGTGGTGTGGGCCTAAAAAACACAGTCTATTGGTCACACACCCTTCTTTCTGATGCTTGGGTGCTATGGCTGGATACTAGTGGACTTCCTACTCTGGACCACAGAAAACTGCCCTTGACACCTAGCAGAAACACTTAGAATGGATGCAGAAAGCTAAGCAGGTAGTGCTAGATAGACACAAGGAAACTGTCTCCTTATTCTGTCCTGGAGGATCCGCCATTGCAACTAGGGGGATAGGTGTTGGCGAAAAATACAAAAAAATTACAGGGGCAGTATGTTGGAGCCCAAATAGGAATGTATCCCTTATTGGGCTGAGAGACAACCATTTTTGCCAACCTCAGTGTATTATGTGATCTTAGAGGGACCCATCCCCATCAAGAGGCGTCTTCACTTCAATCTATTGAGACCCTGTGTGTTAAGTAGCGACTGCTCCCCCCAGGCCAGTTTGAGACCGAGAGGTACTTGATCCTGTGGATATTCCACCTATGCAGGAGGCCCTCGCTGAATGGTTCTTGCCTCCTCTCTTGCTCGAGCTAGCGATTACTGTGGGCTGGGAGACAGAAAACTCTGGTACAGCAACTGTGGATGATCTGACAACCCCTACAAGCTAAACAGACTGTTCTGACTTGCTTGAAAAAACAGTTCTGGGCCCGGGTGAAGGAGGTATGGTGGGTTCAAGTGACCCTCATCTGCCCGTGGTCCCAGGAGTCATCATCATAACAAGATGATCACCTGCTATGTGACTTCCCAGAAGACACTGTTGTTCGCCACCCCCCTGACGTCCAAAAGCGGGCAGCGTCCTGCAAAGTATTCTGATTATGTTGTTTTAACTTGTGTCTTTTCATGTTGTGCTTTAACCATGTCTTTTGTAGTTTTCATGTTGCTCTTATTTGTTGGTTATGTGTTGGAGAAGACACTAGTAGCTTGTGATGAGGCAGAACACTGTTTTACTTGTGTGGCTTAAGTTGCAAACATACAGAACACATTTCAGCAGACATCTTGGTTTTGAGGAAAGGAAGAGAGGAATAGGAAGAGAGAGAACCAACAAGTTTTACACATATGCACAACTGGTAAACTTAGTGTACAGTGCCATCTACTGGTCAAGTGATATTAACACACACAATACTATATAGTACATGCTGTTGTATCTCCAACATTATTTGTGTTGTGATGCCAAGGATAGCATCTGTCAAAGATGGGGAAGTGTAGGCAGGTGCAGTCTACCTTCTCCAATGGCACTCAACAGCAGTGGCATGGCAGTAGGAGGGGGAGAGGAAGTTGAAAGGAAAAATGTTCCTCTATGGTTTCTTGGATCAATGGGCAACCTATCAGATTGGATGCTTCTGCCCCTTGTGACTCTGGTGGCCATCTTGAGTCAGACAGAGTCTATTTAAGACTCTGGCTCCCAAGTTTGGTACACATTTTGCAAGTGGGTAGCATAGGGACAGGTCACCCGTCTATCACGGAAAATGAATAGCGGTAGGAAAAGTTTCTAGAGTAGGGATACACCATTCGCTCTGGAGTCCTCCCATTTTGGTGCAGACCAGCCAGGCTGCATTCTGCCCTCTGAGACAGATGCTGTCGGCATGTTGGAGACCTGCTCTGTTGTACATTGCCGTTAAAACCTGCGAGTGTTCCCAACTGGGTGCCATCCTGCCAGGCTCTTTGTAAAGTTGAACTTTGACATTAATACAAGTTCTGTTTTTGCAATTGGACTTCGTGTATTTACTGCCACTGAACCTCTCAACACATGGGACCAGGGGCGGACTGACCATTTGGAAACTCAGGCACTGCCCGAGGGCCCGGGGTCAGTAGGGGGCCCCATGAGATGCAGCTGGTACCTTTTTCATAGACTTTTTTGAGTTTGGGTAAGGGCACAAGGGCCCCATGATCCCCTATTGCCCGGGGGCCCCATGAGTTGTCAGTCCACCCCTGCATGGGACACAAGGTTTAGAACACCAAGCAACAAGAGGAGTGTTACTCTGCTTCCCTATTTTCCTTTTAGCTTGTTCCTGATCTCTGCAATCTCTGTAATGTTTTCCCCAATCCATAAATACGGTATTGCTCTTCCTCACACAGATATTGACCAGGAATTTTTAGGAAATGGACATTATAGACGTGAACTCACCATTTTGTGCTCTCCTCTCCTGGAGGTCATTTGCGGGTCCCATCAGACCAATCAGTGTAAAGATTTTAATTGTGACATCCAGAGCCTCTTCTTCTCCAAATGTGTCTATCAGGATGTCCTTGGTGGTGATCCAGTCTGCATTTTCTAGTCTTCCTCGGGGAAGGGGAAGGGGAAGTTTATCTCCATAGGAGAAATCAGACAATTTGTTCCTAAATCTCTTGAAGTCACATCCTATCAGATCCTCCAGAGAGTATACAATAAGATCCCCAGAGGTTTGTGGGTCCTTTCCCAGGACACCAGGAGCCAACCCTGTAGAGAAGACAATTGGCAACCATAAACATTGGGATGATGAAGATGATGAGATAAAAGTGACTGGCTGGAAATGTAATAAAACAAAGGCTGTAAAGTGAAGAGAAGATTAACTATAAGTACTGTGAAAATGTGAGACTACAGAAAAAACTGTGGATGACGGATCTGAAACTTTGCTGAAAATGAATATAATAGCTTGGATATTGATTAATACTGTGTCCACTGGATGACTGTTCACTACACCGGTCCGCTGTCAGTGTTATGTGATTGCTGTCCCCAACCACAGTAGATCACATGACAATTGTAAACAATGGATGGCTTCCTTTCATGCCATCCATTGTATACAGTTGTGTTGTTAGCTGTGATTGGTCACAGAGATCACATGGTACAGACAGGGCCAATCACAGCCCATCTGTACCATGTGATTATCTTTGGCTGGGTAATCACAGCTAATCACAACAAAAGACACTAAATGAACCAGTTTTATTCAGTAAAAATGGTTGCTTATATCAATGAAATTCATTAGTATAAGCAATCAATGTGTAAAAAAAAAAAATCCTGATCACTTATACAGAGTTATTTATGGTAACACTGTATTGCTCTGGTCACAGTTTGTTGAAAAAAAGTCTTAAAAAAAAGAAAAGAAATGTAATTAAAGAAGAAATTGAAAAAAATATTCAAATATTTTTTTTAAACATACTGTCACCAGTCAGTGTCCCTAATCACCAGCACACTAGTTATATGATAACGCTGTACTGAACTGGTGACAATACGTAAAAAAAAAATTGAAATTTACTTCATTTTCAAAAAATTGTGACAAAAAATAACAACTTCAAAAAACTTGCCACGCCTCTTACTAAATACCTTAGACTGTCTATTTTTGAAAAATGGGTAATTTGGGGCGTATTTGTACTGCCCTGACATTTGGGGGGATTTGTACTGTCCTGACATTTGGGGGGATTTGTACTGTCCTGACATTTGGGGGGGATTTGTACTGTCCTGACATTTGGGGGGATTTGTACTGTCCTGACATTTGGGGGGGATTTGTACTGCCCTGACATTTGGGGGGATTTGTACTGTCCTGACATTTGGGGGGATTTGTACTGTCCTGACATTTAGGGGGAGATTTGTACTGTCCTGTCATTTGGGGGGGATTTGTACTGTCCTGACACTTGGGGGGGATTTGTACTGTCCTGACATTTAGGGGGATGTCCTGTCATTTGGGGGTATTTGTACTGTCCTGTCATTTGGGGGGGTAATTTGTACTGTCCTGACATTTGGGGGATTTGTACTGTTCTGATATTTGGGGGGATTTGTACTGTTCTGACATTTGGGGGTATTTGTACTGTTCTGACATTTGGGGGTATTTGTACTGCCCCGACATTTGGGGGGAGATTTGTACTGTTCTGACATTTGGGGGGTGGATTTGTACTGTCCTGACATTTGCGGGATTTGTACTGTTCTTATATTTGGGGGGGATTTGTACTGTCCATGGGGTACTGTCCTGACATTTGGGGGGATTTGTACTGTTCTGACATTTTGGGGGATTTGTATTGTCCTGACATTTGGGGGGGATTTGTACTGTCCTGACATTTTGGGGGGATTTGTACTGTTTGACATTTGGGGATTTGTTTTGTCCTGACATTTGGGGGATTTTGTACTGTCCTGACATTTGGGGGGATTTGTACTGTCATGACATTTGGGGGATTTGTATGTTCTGAATTTGGGGGGGGTGATTTGTACTGTCCTGACATTTGGGGGGATTTGTACTGTCCTGACATTTGGGGGGGGGATTTGTACTGCCCTGACATTTGGGGGGATTTGGTCCTGACATTTGGGGGGAGATTTGTATGTCCTGACATTTGGGGGGGGGGGGGCATGGCGGATTTGTACTGTTCTGACATTTTGGGGGGATTTGTACTGTCCTGACATTTGGGGGGCTTTGTACTGTTTCTGAATTTTTTGGGGGGATTTGTACTGTCTGACATTTGTATTTGTACTCTCCTGACATTTGGGGGGATTTGTACTGTTCTGACATTTGGGGGGGATTTGTATTCCTGTCATTTTTTTATTTTTATTGTTTGTACTGTTCTGACATTTGGGGGATTTGTATTGTCCTGACATTTTGGGGGATTTGTTACTGTACTGACATTTGGGGGGATTTGTACTGTCCTGACATTTGGGGGATTTGTTTACTGACATTTGGGGGGATTTGTACTGTTCTGACATTTGGGGGGGATTTGTACTGTCCTGACATTTGGCGGGATTTGTATGTCCCGACATTTGGGGGGATTTGTACTGTTCTGACATTGGGGGGATTTGTACCTGTTGTATATGCTGTTCTTGACATTTGGGGGGATTTGTACTGTACTGGACATTTGGGGTATTTGTACCTGTACCGCTGACATTTGGGGGAGGGATTTGTACTGTCCTGACCATTTTGGGGGGAGATTTGGGACATTAGGGGGGATTTGTACTGTCCTGACATTTGGGGGATTTGTATGTCCTGACATTTGGGGGGATTTGTACTGTTCTGCATTTGGGGATTTGTACTGCCCCGACATTTGGGGGGAGATTTGTACTGTCCTGACATTTAGGGGGATTTTGTACTGTTCTGACATTTGGGGGGATTTTGTAAACTGTCCTGACCCCTTTGGGGGATATCTTGTACTGTCCTGAAATTTGGTCCTGACATCTGAGGGGATTTTACTGTCCTGACATTTGGGGGGGACTTTGTACTGTCTCGACATTTGGGGGATTTGTACTGTCCTGACGTTTGGGGGGGGGATTTGTACTGTTCTGACATTTGGGGGGATTTGTACCTGACCTGACAATTGGGGGGGATTTGTATTGTCCTGACATTTGGGGGGGATTTGTACTGTCCTGACATTTGGTAGGGTATTTGTACTGCCCTGACATTTGGGGGGTATTTGTACTGCCCTTGACATTTGGGGAGGGATTTGTACTGTCCTGACATTTGGGGGGATTTGTTGCTGACATTTGGGGGATTTGTACTGCCCTGACATTTGGGGGGACTCTTTGTATTTGTCCTGACATTTGGGGGGGGGGGGGGGTACTGTCCTGATTTGTATTTGTAGTGCCTGACATTTTGGGGGGATTTGTATTGTCCTGACATTTGGGGGGTACTGTCCTGAAATTTGGGGTTATTTGTACTGTCCTGACATTTTGGGGGGGATTTGTTTTACTGTCCTGACCCCCATGTTGGGGGGAGATTTGTATCGCCCTGGGGGAGTATTTGTACTGTCCTGATATTTGGGGGGATTTGTAACTGTTCTACTGTACGCGACATTTGGGGGGATTTGTACTGTGCTGACATCTGGGGGGTTTTGTACTGTTCTGACATTTGGGGGTGTTTGTACTGTGCTAACAGTTGGGGGGGTATTTGTACTGTCCTGACATTTGGGGGGATTTGTACTGTTCTGACATTTGGGGGAGATTTTGGTACTGTCCTGACATTTGGGGGGGATTTGTACTATCCTGACATTTGGGGGGATTTGTACTGTCCTGACATTTGGAGGTATATGTATTGTCCTGACATTTGGGGGGATTTGTACTGTCCTGACATTTGGGGGTATATGTATTGTCCTGGTGTTTTCAGGTATCAAGTAATGAGATTGGTCATCAGTATATCAGGACTGATCGATTTCCAGATATACTATATATCCCATAGTTTTGTGAACTCTATAACTTTCACAGAGATTAAATAATATACACTGATTTGAGTTATTTTTCACCATAGAAATGTAGCAGAATACATGTTGGCTTACATTTATGAAGAAAGGTTATTTATTTGCAAAATTTTATAACAGAAGAAACGAAGATAAACAATTTTTTTTAAAATTTTTCCGTCTTTTTTAGTTTATTTAGCAAAAAGTAACAAAAAAACTCAGTGGCAATTAAATACCACCAAAAGAAAGCTCTATTCTTGTGGAAAAAAAATAATAAAAGTTTGTTATGGATACAGTGTTGCATGACCACACAATTGCTAAAAATTGGCCTGGGTAGGAAGGCGGGTGAAAGTGCCCATTATTGAAGTGGCTATAGGAAATGTCTAGACTACAGAGATTGAAGACGTCTTGTCATCTAATTCCAACCTCTGGAGATGTGAGATGAAGGAAAACATCGAAAAGGAATGATAGGCAGTCATACCTTGTGAGGAGGAGGAGGAGGATAAGGAGGAAGAGGCCGCCATGACATCAGAAGATGATCTGGGATCATCACCTAGAAGAGGCAAAATAAAAATCAACTCATTTGTAGTGCGATGAATATACAGACTTCGGGTCTATGTGGAATTAGAGTGCTGTGAGCAGTGAGCGGAGTTTCCCATTGCCTACCAGCTCAAAGAATATAGAACTCCGCTTTGTTTAGAGCAGTTAGAAGAATGATTGGTGGGGTCTCTCCTTGTTAGATCTGCCCAAACATCCTCCAATCAGATTGTTAGTACTTCCTGACAATGAAGAGACCTGAAAATATTTCTAGAAAGGTGAAGAATCCAATCACAGGAGATTCTAGAAGATAAAACCTGGAAACATGGCCCTGGGAGCATCCATCATCTTCTCATGGCCTGAAGACCAGAAGTGAGCAAAGTTTGTTTTTCTGTCCTTCTTGATTCCAGCAGGAGAGGGAGGAGGAGGAAGGGGAAGGGGAGGACTTTCTGGAACGTAACGTGTACACAGAAAGTTCTCCGTAAATAGTCACTTCTATCTCTGGCACTACTTTGGGTGGGTCCAACTTCCTCTTCCTGTATAAAGATCTGAACACGTCTAACCCTAATTCCTGTATAAAGATTTGAACACGTCTAACCCTAAGTCCTTGTATAAAGATCTGAACACGTCTAACCCTAAGTCCTGTATAAAGATCTGAACACGTCTAACCCTAATTCCTGTATAAAGATCTGAACACGTCTAACCCTAATTCCTGTATAAAGATCTGAACACGTCTAACCCTAATTCCTGTATAAAAGATCTGAACATGTTCTAACCCTAAGTC